CAAACATCGCATACCCAAAGCAGAGCATTTTACATTCGCTCAAACCAGCAGCTCCTTGGGTGTTCCCATCTTAACAAATAGTACTGCCCCCTGCTCAGTGGTTCAGTTCAGGACAGGTGACTTGACGCTTACCTTCCTAAATACTTACCCATTTTGAGCCATTTTTTCTTTTGTTCAACATTATATATGGTATACTTGGATGCTCAGTAAACATTCATTCAAAATGGAATGTCTGGGCACTGGCAACTCACTGTAGTCCTGGCTTCTCAGGAGGCAGAGTCATGGAGTATCATGTTCAAAGCAAACTTGAGTAGTAAAGCTTGTAGGCTCCTGATTAATTCGCAAAATTCCAGATGGAGGCATGGATCAAGTGGTAGAATGCTAGCCATGGGAAAGCAAGCCAAATGAGAATGCAAGGCAATGAGTTCAAGCCCTAGTACAAGCATGCGTGGGTGTGGGCACATGCGCATATATGCATGTGTGCGCATGCACGCGCGCGCGCACACACGCACGCACGCGCGCGCACACACACACACACACACACAATTGATTGAGCCAGGCTTATGTCTATAATCCTAGTTACTCAAGAGGCTGAGATATGAGGATCACAGTTCAAAGCCAGCCCAGGCAGCAAAACCAATGAGACTTTTAGCTACAATTAACCACTTAAAAAAACCTGGAAGTAGAGGTATGGCTCAAGTGGTAGAGTGGTAGCTAGCTTTGAGTGAGAAAACTAAGAGACAGCACCCAGGCCCTGAGTTCAAGCCCCAGGACTAGTACACATACACACAAAAAAATTGAGTATACTTGTGTAAGCCACACCTTGACTGAAGAGTGTAAACATGGAAATTAGAAGGAACAGAAGAGCAACACTGTATGGCATTCTGAGGATGATCTTCATTTTGAAGATGGCTTGCATACAGTGTGAACAATTCTTCCCGAGAAGAACAATTGCATTTGTCAGTCACAATGCAAACATATCTGCCCATCCTTTGTCAGGACTTCATGATCACAAAAAGAGTGATTGATGTGAGTTTTGGAAGTAATAGAGCATTTCCCAGAGGCATTGGCCTCCAGAATGCTTCTGGGAGCAACGCCATATCTCATGGCACAGTGAGCACCTAACATGAATTGCAATTATAGTGTACAATAAAATATATGTAGCTCAGAACAATTTTGGAGTCTGAAAATCTAAGCAACATAAGGCAGTTCATCAAGAACTACTCCTTCTTTGTCACCTCCTGGTGACAGGAGTATACATAGGAGCAATTGATGGCATATCCAGCCAGGAGCAGAGAGGGGTAGAGGTCCTTGCTCTGGAAAACTCAAGGAGTCACGTATGAACTACTTTAGGTCTCCAGTGACCTTAGACTCTCTCCTTAGACTCCACCTTCCAAAGGCTCTACAGAATTTCCTGTTACTGTCATCCTACAGACAAAAATCCTCCATCACAATGGAACCTTGGAGGATATAAAGCATGTTCAAACGGTAGCAATGATGGCCACAGTGTTAACAAATGGATGGTAGCAATGATGGCCACAGTGTTAACAAATGGATGCTTATGGCAGTCAGCTACTGCTGCATAACAAGCATCTGTAAAATCTCAGTGGTATACAGCAATGGGTATTATTTACGTGTATCTGTAGCTTTGTTGGAGTGGGTGACTTTGTTGTCCAAGCTGACAGGCTAGTTGGATTTGACAGAAACATGCCCAACATGTATTCTTTTGGGTCGCAGCTAAAGGAACAGTGACTACCTGGGGCAGGCTCTTCTTATGGCCATGATAGACACACAGGAACAACTGTTGAAGCCTTTGAAGTATAGACTGAGAACTGGCACACTGCTTCTTTGTGCAATTAGTCCAACTGAGCTGCAAGACCAAGGACAAAATCAAGGGCAAGCCACAATTCCTTTTGTTGCAGGAACCATAGAGTTTTAGGGTAAAGCGCACTATCAGGGGAATAATTCATCCTGTCACAGTATATGCTACACATGGAAGAAAATACAAGAGAAAGCCTGTTGAACCTGTCCGATCCAGTTCAAACCTGTCTGTCCCTTTCTTCTAGACCACTTTTCACAATAATTCAAAATACACCTTCTAATCCCTTTGGAAGATGACTCAATTCTGGTCCCATCATTCCCAAATCTATTTGTTATTTATTCAGCACTGCCACGGCTTGCTTTCCAGGCGGGTGCTCTGGATGTTGATTCCATGAGTGTGGTTGTTACGGGAAACGTTTCATTGCACATCTGCTGACACGATTTACTGTCTTTCTAAAATTAAAAAAAAAACAAATAAAGAAGGAGAAGGAAAAGGAGAGGGTAACTCATACTTCGAGGGCTTGAAAGGATAATGAGTAATTTATTCAGAGCTACATACAAATCAGACGATCGTCTTTCAGACAGAATCAATAATATAATTTTAAGCCCCCACACAATTTACAAATGCTAGCACTCCGGCACAGCTGGGTTGCTATGGGCAACCAGGGCATGCCAGCTCCTGATCTGAAACGAGGCTGCTGTCTCCCAGCCTTGTAAGCACATTCTACAGACAGCATTGCAGGGAGCCGAGGGCGGTAGTGTTGGCTCTGATCTGGCCGCACTACACAAATGCACTCCTGTGATGGCTTGGATTAGCTCTTGTCTGAATTGCTTGGCTTGCTTTAAACCTCAATTTGCACGAGACTTCTTCGACAGCCCTTCTGTGTCTGTGTCTAAGCAGACTGGGGATGCAGAGGGAGGCATATGAAGGAAGGAGAAAGGAGGATGAAAATTCCTTCCATAGTTCCTGATGGTCAAAGAAGCCAAGGCTGGAGCCCGAGTCTCTCACAGGGAGCAGGATGACTGGGAACTGAAAAGTGGGCCCAATGGAGCTTCTCTAATGAGAGGGTTTAATGGGGTGTTGGCTGCTGGCACACTAGAGCAAGACACAGAAAAGCATTTTTTTAAAAGCTCCTCTGGGAGCAGAGTAGGCACAGACTGATCCCATTAAAAGGACTGGGGGAGGGGATGGGGCACAGGAATGAGCCATGATGCTTCCATTTGGCTCTGTTAGTACCACCTTAAATACATGGTCAAGGGAGCTTGAGCTTGAATTACATTATTTCCTGCTAGGAAAGCTACTGGTGTTTTCAAGGACCAAGAATACATTTTGCGCACGTGTGTGTGTGTGTGTGTGTGTGTGTGTGTGTGTGTACTGGGCCTTGAACTCAGGGCCTGCGTACTATCCTTTAGCATTTTTCCACTCAAGCCTAGTGTTCTGTACTACTTGAACCACAGCTCCACTTCTGGCTTTTTGTTGGTTAATTGCAGAAAAGAATCTCCCAGAGGTTTGGTGGGGTTTTTTTTGCCCACTCTGGCTATGAACTATGAATTTCTCAGATCCCAGCTTTCTGCATAGCTAAGATGGCTGATATGAGCCTGTCAGATCCATCTCAAACAAGAAACTAGCAGGAGCTATTCTAAGAGTTCAATTCTGCTTAAGAAAATCTACTATTGCCACTGTTACCTTCAGATAGAAACTCCCACAGAAGAAGTCACAATCCCAGGCTCCTTTGAGGATTTCCCTAAACAACTCTCATAACACTGTTGTAAAATTAACAGTAATTAGGATTACTACTTAAACATTTTGCCATTTATATCTAATTACCATGTATTACAATAAAAATTACCATGAAGTACGTGTCAGGTTCACTTTGTTGCTGACTTTATTTAATTACAATCCTTATTTCCATGAATTTTGCTGTGAGTTTTCATGCTTTTTGTGTTATAGTCTGTTCAAAACTGTAAAATATTTACAGAGAGGGCTTGGTTGGATATTTGCTATCTTGGTCAATTAGTGCAGAGATCCTGGACAACCCTCTCCCTCCCAGCCAAAACCCCATCTCTGAGAAGAAGGTGACTATCGATGCTGCCCAGAAAGGAATTGATCAGCCCCTGCTGGTGGCTCACACCTGTAATCCTAGCTATTCATGAGACTGAGATCTGAAGATCATGGTTCAAAGCCAGCCAGGCAGACAAGTTCAATGGACTTTTATCTTTAATTAACCAGCAAAAAAACAGAAGTGGAGATAGGGCTCAAGAGGTAGAACAGTATTGAGAAAATGTGATAACACACACACACACACACACACATACACACACACACACACACACACACACACAATGGAATTCTATGCTTCCATCAGAAAGAATGACATCACCCCTTTTGTAAGGAAAGGGAAAGACTTGGAAAAAATGAAGTAAGTGAAATAAGCCAGACCCAAAGAAACACAGGCTCCTTGGTTTCCCTCACTTTAAAAATTAGTGTATGTCTAGGATAGTCCTAGAAGAGGATCACAATAGCTCAATAACTATGTACGTGTGACCATAGAAGATGACGCTAAGCGAAATGAACTCCAAGATATGGGAGTGAGAGGATTTTCTTTGTTGTTGTTGTGTTTAACGCACCATGTGATTTCTTTTTTTCTTTTGTGTTTTTTATCTATGGTTTATCCCGTGTTGTCACTGTATTTGATTTTGTACCCTGAGAATTGTATACACATTTGTCTGAATTAGGGAAGGGAAAAGAAACAACAAAATGGTGAGAAAAAGGCCAAAAGGCAAACCAATGCAACAGTGATACTCACAAGACAATATATTGGAAATGAACTGTACAGCTTGGCAGTGGTGGGGAAAATTGGGGGGATGGAAAGTGGGAGAAAAATGAGGGAGGGGTAACCAGTTCAACAAGAAACGTACTCACTCTCTTATATATGTAACTGTAACCCCTCTGTACATCACCTTAATAGTAAAATTAATCTTAAAAAAAAGCTAAAGAAGAGTGCTTTGGCTCTGAGTTCAAGCAAGCCTAGTATCAACACACACACACACACACACACACACACACACACACGAATGAATCTCATGCAGAATGGGATTATTCCAGAGATCCCTAATGAGACTGTCTTTGGGTGGTATCATACAGCATCCTGAACCCAGCAGCGATCTCCAGAGAGCCAATGATACTTCGAGCTCAGACTTGTCCAGCTGGACAGTGGCTTTCAGTCAAGCAGGGGCTGCAGAAGGCAGAGCCTCTGGCCTGGCTGCGGCGTGCCTGCCTCCCACGCCAGAGAACGCCAGGTCACTCCATCACCGCCAAGGAGACGAACCCAGGAAGGACACCACCTCACCATGCAGACCTGGCCACAAGCCCAGGGGTGGAAAAGGTAAGGGGCTAAGGGATCCGCAAACAGACAGCACCTCCAGCAAGGCAAGTTGAGCACACAGGGCTCTGGGACTGGGTTGGAATTCCCCCAGATGTGACCAAATGTTCACCAACAGGGATTCCATGAAAAGCCAGCATCCAAGTTTGATTTGTCATAGTCCCCTCTTGATCAGACATTTCAGCCCATCTGCTCCGTAACCATCTCTGACCTCCTGCCACATCCCCCAGTGTCTCCATTGCCCAACTGACTTTCAAGTGTCTCTTCCTTCTCCTGCCTGCCCCAGCCCCACTGTTGTTGATGTCTAATTCCTTTCCAGCTTCATCCTTTTCTTTCCAATTATCTCTCATGATAAATTAGAGTCATGCTAATCTGTAATGGATAATAAATAAATTGCAACACTCCATTTCACTTGATTTCAATTCGGCAAACATCAATGAAGCAATTCCATGATCTGAGCCCTGGAGGAAAATCAAACATCACAAAATCCAGTCTCTCAAGACTTTACACAGCTAGCATGGTTTTTCTTCAGGGGAGATGCTTTTAGAAGGTATGGCAAAAGGATTTAAGGAAAATGACAATGTATTTATGTTAATGCAGAGTAGAATAAGCTTATCAAGCCCATGATTTTGTGATTACTATTGTTTATAAGGAGAAAGAAGATTGTATATAAAATAAGCAAAGAAAATATTAAGCAAGTAACACAGAAATAGCTAAATCTGTGCAGATGATGACTCATGGCTGCTTTGAAGGAATCAGAGCTCAGTAGAGGAGAATGTATATTTCTTTTTCATTTTTCTTTTCTGTCTGAAACTGGCACTTGAAGTCAATACCTAATGTTTTGGCTCGTTGACTTGCACTCTTCCAACTGAGCCATGCCTCTAAACCCAAGATGTGTGTTTCTAATGTGGAAGGAGTGGGGAACAAGGAAGGGTTCATGGAAAAAGTGGCATTTGAGAGGCCTTGAAGGCAGTCTTGTTTCTCTATAACTATATGAAGTAAAAGCTGTGACATGGAGGAGACAACACGAAGGAAGGCACAGGTAACGGAAGCACATGGATGGCATCTGCAGAGCGAGACGGGGAATGTGTCATAAGGAATGAAGAATCTGATTTGTTCCTTTTTCACTAGTGGCTTGTACAGATATTAAAAGGAAGTTTTAGCCAGGCACTAGTGGCTCACGCCTGTAATCCTAGTTATTCAGAAGGCTGAGATCTAAGGACCATGGTTCAAAGCCAGCCTTGGCAGGAAAGTCTGCCTCTTATCTCCAATTCATTACAAAATAAGCCAGAAGAGGAAGTGTGGCTCAGGTAGTAGAGCACTATCCTTCAACATAAAAAGCTCAAGCCCTGAGTTCAAGCCTCAGATTAAAAAAAAAGAAAAGAAAAGAGATGAAGGAAGGAAAGAAGGAAGGAAGGAAGAAAAGAAGGAAGGAAGGAAGGAAGGAAGGAAGGAAGGAAGGAAGGGGAAAGGGAAGGGAAGGAAAGGAAAGGAAAGGAAAAAGAGAGGAAGAAAATCTTTCTGGAAGGCAGGGATCTTCAGATCTGGGTAAGATCAATAAGACTGGAAAATGATTTACTGAGATAGGATTGGAATGAAAAATAAATTCATAGCACACCTATAATCCTAGCTATTTAGGAGGCTGAGATAGGGAGGACTGTAGTTTGAGGTCAGTCTTGGCATTAATGCTATGAGTTCCTTTCTTGTCAAATAGCTAGATTTCTTGTCATACAACTGTCATCCTAGCTTTATGGGGAATATGAATAGGTGGTTTGCAGTCCAAGTTGGTGGCCGAGGCAGCAATAATGCAAAAAGGGGCTGTCCATGTGGATCAGAAGTAAGAGTATCTGTTTCACAAGCCCCAGGCTCTGAGTTCAAACCCCAAAATAATTTCTACTCCCATGGACTTTTCTGCTAAGGCTGGCTGCAAACCATGACCCACAGACCTCAGCCTCCTGAGTCGCTTGAGCCACAGGCTTGAGCCACGAGTGGCTGTATTGACACAATACTGCACAATCCAAGGTGGTTGACTGCGGGCTTTCTACTACACTACATGGCAGCTAGGACTAACTCCAAAAGTTGAAATGAGAATCCACCAATTCTACTCAGGTGATATGTACCTAAAAGAACTATAGTCAAGATTGTAAAGAGAAACCCCCATCTCTACATTGACACCATCATTTCCACCATAGCCAAGGTATGGAAATAACTCAGCTCTCTTTTTGACTTTTTGCTAATTGGGTTAATCTTGTTTAAAGCCCAAAGTTCCCCCTAAGCTATATTGCTTGTGACTGGACTGCGTTTGACAGGGTGGGCACGGCTGAGGCCTGAGGCACCTCATTGACATCGCAAAAGAGTGATGAGATCCTAAGTTCCCAGCCTGAGATGCACAGGTGCAGATCCAGGCTATACAAGACGCGCCACTTCAAACAAAAGGAGTGGCCTATGGGTGGCATTATTTAAATGAGCTGTGGGAAACAGGCATGCTGGAGTTATTTTTGATTTGTGTTACAACATGTGAGATCCAGGGTTACTCACAGAGCAGAAAAAACCTAGGGGAGGGAGTAGGCAACAGGACCCAGCCCCTTGAGAGTCTTTTCTTTGTGTTGGTCGTGGGGCTTGAACTCTGGGCCTGGGCACTGTCCCTGCACTCTTCAGCTCAAAGCAAGCCCTCTACCACTTGAGCCACAGCACTACTTCCAGTTTTCTAGTGGTTTATTGGCCATAAGAGTTTCACAGAGTTTTCCTGCCTGGGCTAACTTTGAACTATGATCCACAGATCTCAGCCTCCTGAGTAGCTAGGATTATAGGCGTGAGCCTCCAGTGCCGGGCTGCTAGAGTCTTTAGACTCCTTTCAACTCTGAGGACCCCTAACAAGTTCCAACCTCGGTCAGCCCTTTCATATAGCACTCCTTCCTCCCTTAAGTCCTTCTCCTGGTAAATGTTTCTAGAAGTTTCTTAGTCCTTTGCAGGTTTCAGCAAGGTTTCTACATTATTCCCCAGGAGGGCAGCTGCAACTGGGCCATGTGGTACAGTCAATGGGGAGAAGTTTAAGTAAGGAGCAGTTCTTGATACAGTTAAGGCCCAGCATGTATTAGCTAGTTTTAGTCTGTTGTTTATCTTGGGCTGCTATAACAAAACATTTGGTATCATGCAACATATAAAAAAAAGAAGTTTATTTGGCTCATGATTTTAGGGGCTGAATAACCTAGACACCATTGCTCTGGTGTCTGGTGAGGGTCCAGGTGGCTGCATCATGTCATAGAGAAGGAAAAAGGGTCATGAGCAGATGGGGATGGGCAATGTGAAGTCACCTTGCTTTGTAACTATATACAAGTTCAAGTTCACTCTCACAAAAGAGCAGTAGGCCCATTCGAGAAGGAGGAACCTCTGTGGCATCATCACACCCCTGAGCACCCTGCCCCCATCCCGCAAGACCTCACCAACACTGCCACCCTGGGCCCCTAGCTTCCGGCACATAAACTTTTGCAGTGCAGATCTTTTGCAACCCATAGCACACATCTGTGCAGGAAGATTTGATACTTGCATTGTTATAGCAGGAAAGAACCAAGGCAAATTTTCTTTCCTCAGAAATAAACTAAAATCTAGAAGCATAAAGGCTCTTCAGTCCACCTTAGCGGGTGTGTTTAAGTTCCCCCATGCCTGACACAAGACAGATGGGGATGAATTTGATGCAGCACCTGCCCTTCTGCTTCCCAGCCTTACACGGTCGGTCTGCATAGTGGAGGACATTGTTGCTGAGGGCAGGGCTGTTCCTGGGGGCAGATGGCCACTTGTGTAAATGATCTATCAATTGTTCAGAGCTATGAGCAGAGACTCACACCAGCCCCCTGGTCCAGGTGCTGGTGACTCATATCTGTAATCCTAGCTATGAGGGAGGCTGACATCTGAGGATCTTGGTTTGAAGCCAGCCTAGCAGAGAAGTTTGTGAGGCTATTATCTCCAATTAACCACCAAGTGGTAGAATACCAGCCTAGAGCAAAAAAAAGGGGGGGATAGTACCCAGACCCTGAGTTCCTGGTTCAGTCCCAGAAGCAGCAACGCTCCTCCCTCCCCCACCCCCACACAGGCAGCACAGACAGACAGACAGACAGACACACACACACACACACACACAGACACACACACACAGACACAGACACACACCAATGCGCCCTGAATGGTACAGTCATTGTCAAATCCTTGAAATCTTGAAAATAAGGTTAGATCCTGGGGCAGGGAGTAGAGAAGTTAACCTAGGAAGTGTTTGTAGCTGCCAGTCACTCAGTTCAGTTAAAATTAAGACATTTGTTAGAAGTTTATTTGTGCCTCTTACTGAGAAAGTTTCCAAGTGCTCAAGGATAAATGAAGCCCAAATGGTAACAAAGTCTTATGACATCACATGCTATGAATTTCTCCCTGCCGGTGTTGACCAAATAGTGGCTCATGAAACCACTTTAGTAGATAAGTCTATCTTGTGCAATTGTGTTTCACAAAATGTCATGTGCATGTATGTGTGATTAACAGATCCTTACTAAGAACTGTGTTATAAAGCATAATTTGAAAGCACTGGTGGTTTAAGCCTATAATTATAGCTACTCAGGAGGCTGAGATCTGAGGAACCTAGCTTACAGACAGTGCCAGCAGGTGTAAGACTCTTATCTCCAGTTAGCCACCCAAAATCCAGAGGTGAAGCTGTGGTTCATGTGGTAGAGCACCATCCTTGAGTGAACAAAGCCAAATGGAGCATTAGGACATAAGGTCAAGCAGGAATGAAGGAAGGAAAGAAGGAAGGAAGGAAGGAAGGAAGGAAGGAAGGAAGGAAGGGAAGGGGGAGGGAGGGAGGGAAAAGGAAAAAATAAAAAATTGAAGAATGAAGGAAGGAATGGAGGGAGGGAGAGAGGAAGGAAAAAGGAAGAAGGGAAGGAAAGAAGAAAAGAAGAATGGAAGGAAGGAAGGAAGAAATAAAGAAGCAAGGAAGGAAGAAATAAAGAAGGAAGGGA